CTTTTTACATCAGTAACTAAACTGCAAAGTATAAGCGAAGAATATATATATATAGTCTTGGCCCCTTTGTCTAAGGAGGATACAATGTTGTGGTGAAACACATCAGCAGCGTCTAAATTACTTCTACCCTGTTTGTAAGCAAACTGCTTTGAACCATTTGAGAAGCTTAGAGAGGCAACAAGTTTTTGTAACAATTAGTTTCAAAAAAGGAGAGGTAATATCAATAGGTCTAAACTTAACACTATTTCCAGAACCAGACTTGGTTACAGGGATGGTTTTAATATCTTTGCACAGAGAAGGTGCAACAATATTAGAAAAAGAAGTATTGAAAATGTTTGTAAGTGGGTTACTTAAAATATCAGCACAGTTCCTTAGAACAATGGCAGGTATGCCATCAGAGTCTAGACTCTGGGAAGGTTTAAGGATTAAAAACATTTAAGAACATCAGAAGTATTGAAACTCTGAAAGTTACTGGTCATGTTATTAGTTACATTGAAGCTAAAAGGGACATTTGGAGGGCGGATAAAAGACCTATTTAGAGTATATACATCAGGAGCATAAATAGTATGCTTACCTAAACCTGTAATTTCCCTGAAAAGCTTCCACATACTTCCTGAAGTTTTACAAGACAATATTTTTTGATTACAAATATCGTTTAGCCTCTTGATTTCGGATTTAATTTGGATGTTTATCCTTCTAAGACCAGATTTATCCTTAGTCTTGTACAGTTTCTCTTTTTCTCTTTGAAGCTTTTTGAAGACTACCTGACGGTCATTCAAGTTGTCGATGAAATTATCATAAAGTTGATTTTATTTAATAACTGCAATATCTTCTTGGATTTAACGAAACAGTTTTACCTTATTTGCTGCCGTTATATGATTCAAAGTAGGAATTTCACAGTCAGGAAAAATTAAATCTAAAATGCAGTTATATACATGTAATTCATAAATCTCTTATTCAGTAAGTTCTGTTGCTAGCTGCCCTTAACCACCGGAATATATGTTTAAGAAGAAAATGTTTAATATAATAAACAACCACTTTGATTTGTCCTTTTATATGTTTTTACGTTATAAAAGGAAATAAATGCAATCGTCTAATTTTTCTAGATTCTTAAATAGGGAGTTAAAATGAACAGCGTCTTCTGATTATATCAAACCTAGATATTATTGGTTGTACTGAAGACAGCATATCTTTTAACTGAATCATACTTACACTGGGTGATTATATGGCTAGAAAAACAAAGTGATTAAATTTAATGGACTTTGCAGAGAACACAGAGTACTTATAAAATCAAACAATTAACTAAAAAACGAAAAATAAATTTCGAGAATGAAAAAAACTATAGCATCTCATGCATCTCATTACAAGGAGAAAAAGAATTAAGAAACATATAAATACATAAGACAATACCAGCATTTCCTTTGACTTCCACAGAGAAGTTATGGTCTTTGACGTGTAGTATTTGCTTTTGTAAGCCAGTCAAATCAATATTTATTGGGGACAAGGAGTCATCCATCCTCATTGTCATTGTGTTAAGATTAATTGGTGATTGTTTCGTACCACCTGCATTAGGGAAGCGTAAAACCCAGGTATGAGGACCTTAACTTTGTATGTAGAACATAAATATCATACCATATTTTTCTCCATAATCATAGGACATTTTTACTTCGTATCAATCTAATATCGTTATGACAGCGGAAATCCATACTAAAAATCATCTTAATAAATACATCTAAAATGACCTTGAAGCGTAAATTTATGTGATAAAAGAAATAAGCTTAGAGATAAGAAAACACTTGTTTTAAGCATTTCATGTTACCAGTTCACCTCTATCTGTGATTTTTTCTCTTAATCAACTTAATTTCCTCTCACATTTGTTGCATGTTTTAAACGGTGTTCCTGAAAGTTAAAAGGGTTTTTAAATCATTAAAATATCATAAACTCTTCAATGCTGATTCCTCTAAATATGCCGAACGTACAGCTCACATTAAAAGAAATTCGAATCTATAAAGGCATTTTCCCAAGGGATGTCGCTGGACAGGCAACAGCCTGTTTTCATGTAGATGAATAAATAGGGCCTAATGTAAGATAAATATTATCGAAAAAGGATAACAAGCGTGATACTTAAGTAATTCTTTTGTATTCAGTAAGCAGGAATAATTTTTCTGCACCATTAGATTACATTGATTACCTTTTGAGGGTGAAAGAATCGTCTTAGCTACATTCTGTTCCTAACATATCCAGTAAGGAAATAACCCTAAAGATGGATCGTCGTATTATGAAAAATTGGGTCTGGAAAACGCAGCTGCTGGGTCATTTACTTGCATAATGCGTGAATTCCCACATTATGTCCATCCATCATATAAAATTCACACTACCAATATAAACCTCCTTCAGAAGTTGGTCGTTACAGGATTCAGAATGCCTCCACGTCATGATAAACCAAACTCTGTTTTAATATATGAAAGGAAATGGCAAAAGTGATATAGTGATCCAGTCAAGGGCCATAGTTTATTAAATTTTCAACTGAAGTATATTTTGCCCCTATTTAAAGTCTTAGGTTATAGGCAAAATATTGTTTTACATCTCAACTACTCATTACCCATTTTGATTCTACGCCACCAGGTCTACCATCTACGCTTACAGTGAGGTCCCACCTGCTTCTCCCAATTGTTTTCTACACAAGTGATATTGATGCTTCTGGAAATGTGACTCTGAACGGCTTACTCGGTGTTCCGTTTGTTATTATCACGATGCCGCTTTCAAAACGCCGTCTTTCACCCAAACCTCTTGAACAACAGGAACCTTATCTCAACTGGCTTTAACCGAGGCTCCGCTACAGCGCAAACACGTATAAGATCATGTGTATTATCTGCTCTTCGCAATGTAATTTCTGCAATGTTCTTCAAACCGAGACTAATGAAATCACCTGTATTTTTCCCTTAAGGGAGGGTCTTGCTCAACACTCTCCACGAGTCAGCCTCGTATTGCTTTACCTCGAGGATCGGCCCATTATTTTAGCTGATCAATAGAGGTAAAGCCTCCACACAATCCAAAATTGGGCCTTCCAAATGTTGTATAGTGCTTGAAGATAACAATTATGTATATCTGGGTTATTCATAGCCTGTAATATGTCGTGTTTCTTTCACGGATTGATCGTGAATAGCATTTTTACTGACTTTAAACAAATGCCAATGCTTCAATTATCATACCGGTAGTATTGCAGGGGATCATAGAAGTTCATCAGATCAATCGAACTTTCAGCCACTAATTTGTTTTCCTGTGAGGACTGAAACTTAAGCTGGAAACCTAGATTTCAGAGGGACAAGAACTTGGCAGCATCACTGTGGAGATATGGCGTTTCTAATGGCCTAATAATAATGTCACTAATAAACACACTTTGGGCAGCCGTAAGTGTCATATCCCCTCTTCACCAGTTCGGAGGGCGTGTTAGGAACAGCCTGATCACCCAGTTAGAAGAGCAGACTAAAGAGTCAACAGGTGGTGTGGCTCGAGCTCTGGTCAAGCAAGAAAAACGTCCAAACACCAATTGTGAGCATTATATTTAGTTGTAACCAACTAGAAAGGGCCTCACGGTCGTTCGGCCAGACCGACTAATTGGTTTGCTAGGGTATTTGTACCAGGAAGTGTGTATAAGTTTATGGTAATTGGAAAACCCTAACAATTTGTACCACTCAAGGAAACCTGTTAGGGTAATCACAATGGTTTGTAGGTCAAACAAAGTGTTGGCTGAATTCGCCTCACACGTGTTTATGGGTACACACTAATTTCTACTTTTGGGTCGATGAAATCTGTGCACCTGCGATTTCACCAGTCACATGAACGTGACGACAGTGTTCTTTATGCTAGTTAGCGACAAAATTTTTCACTGACCGCCATCCCATTGCTCTTCTGAGGGACCAGGTCGCTAAGATACATAAGGCAATAGACACCAGAGATCTCTGTGCTCGACTGAGTGATTATTTCAGCATCGACACTTACTGCAGATGTGTGGATACATCTCGTCTGACCTCCCTGTATTGTGCACTTGTTTTGGCAAGTCAAATAAGAAAAAATTATCATCTACAGAAACCAGAAATTGTTGGATACTGTGGAACAAATATAACCGACAGAATAATCTCAGACAGACAATTTTGTCTCTCAGATTTTCCTTTCAAAGTTTCAATAAGTTTTTAGTTAGTTGCCACACCCATGACCAAATTTTCTTTGTTTTCAGGGACTGAATATTTAGCCAGGTAGTTTCCGATGGCGGCGACAGAGGAGATAACCGGAGACCAACAGGTCGCAGTGCTAGCCCACTGACCACTGAATCTCTTCAGAAGAGTGAATAGTGGACTTAAAGCCCGGGTTTAGCTCGTGTGATATCTTTCAAAGTTTGTCTGCCCGATCCAAACATGAAAGAAGCATCTGAATTGATTCATTGCACTCAATATTATACGACTAAATTGGATGAGTCTCAGTGACCTGATACTCTCGGATACATTTCTGAATGAGTTAGGCTGAAGATCTACAAATTAGCCTGTTCTCATATATTGGCTTTAGGAGTCACTGTGAGACATTAGTATACAATATGACACTTTGGACACAGTTGATTTTTAGTTGTTATACCGCATTTGTATGCGCAAAAGTTCCCACACAGCATCATGGCACGACACCGGAAATGCCTTTTGTTTATCAGGAATTGGGAAATACAAACTTGGACTATGTTAAGGTAGACCACTAGCTTTTCCATATAACCACTACCCTCAGGACCTGACTGGATATTTTTCTACCTCTACCACAGAGTAACAGGATAAATTTGAATATAATACACAAGTCTCCAGTCTAATTCATTTATTCCAGCTTTCCTCATAAGGAATACAGAGGGAATAATAAAAAAGGAAATAGGTACTCTTTGAAATTAGGATTAAGATAATGGTATTTGTTTCTTGTTACTTTAACCTTGAATGACGCTAATATTACCATGTCAAATAGTAGTACGATTATAAAATTCAAGGTCATTGCATGAATATCGATGCAATTTGTAAAATTAGCTCCACAGGATATGCATCCACCATAAGGTCCTCCGAAAATCAAACGTTATGTAGTAATATAGATGGCGTAACATGCAGGTAGTTCATCAGTGTTTAAGAAAATTACTTTCTGATAAACATATCATAATGGTGTTTCACAGTAAATAACATGAAATAAATTGCTTAAGTTTTGAGACTGTCTTTCTTCAATCATAATTTCAGGTTTCGTGAGATAGTACCTAGTGAGACAAAGAATATACAGATATTCGAGAAACACATAAAATCTCTAGTGAAAGCATTTCTGAGTGGTTATAATGCTTGCATACTGTGTTATGGTGAGGTCAATTCAAGAATAAACATGTTAATTAACGGGCCAAATTCACATCAGGAAGGAATACTGAAGTTAATAATGCTGGAAATATTTAGAAACGTATTCCATGGTATTACTGTGTTTATTATTTCTGTTTATTCAGAAGATGAACTCAATCTGAATCTACATAAAGAAGCTTTATCTGTTCAGTCACTGCTGATTGGAAGTGAAGGGTTCACTGATTTGATTCGGAGGTCAGAATCTTCAAGTTCTCAGCTTAAAACTACTTTTACAGTTAATAATGGATATCAGGTCGAAGTAATTTTTAACAAAATATTTCAACAACTAACTTGATCAGGGTCTTCAGGAGGTTCATATCGATTCATTTAACACAGCCGTAAATATATGCACACAAGCGGCACAAAGCTACTTCGGTAGGATATGTAAAACTGACCAGGAATTGGATGATATCCCAGCTAGCTTCATTTTTCGCATCAAACTAAACGTAATTTCCGGTTACTTATTTTTTAAGTTGAAAGGGAGAAAAACTTAATGACGGCATCACGTTTCGAAGCAAATTATCTCTGGTTTGCATCACTGGTTTCGAATGGCTTTCCAGGAGTATGAAGAATGGGGCAGATTTAGAGAGCGCTGAATTACTTGAATTATACAACCTCACATTTCAGTTAGCTTCCGGAAAGCCCGGTAATCGGAAGTTTCCCAATTACAGGTAAACATTCTTATGGCTTTGTCTTATCAGATCACTTCATTTCGCCCATAACATTGCACCTATAATTAACCTGCATGTCTAACCATCTAAAGTACTGTGACCCAAATTATATCCGACACTAGGTGAAGTACGGGAGTCCGTTTTTATATTGATCACTGCGTATGAAGATACCCAAAGTATGCAAGATCTCTGAAAAAAGATGTCAACATTTTCCAGGGAATCAATTAAAACAAGTGAATCAGGATGCAGTTATCCTTCCGTATTCATTATCTCAAAGTTATCACCTATTGTGATACCATTTGTTTTCAACTCACTGTCATTCTAATGCATAGTGATTCATAATTTGTGGTATAAATATTTAAGTGACTACTTAAGTTGTAGTAAATGAATGATCGTAATGCTGGCAGAGTAAGTTGATTTAATTGAGGCTAGACCTCATTTAACCATGAGGACCACAGGACTTTTTAATCTGAAGTGGAGACAAATAAAGTTGATAATAAGGTTTGCAATGTGTATTCATTTTTATATTTTGACATTGCTGTTGATTAATATGTTAATAAATGTTACTGAAGGTGTCTCTAAGTTCTTCTTCTTTATAGATAAGACGTCTTACTCAGTGCAGGTACATAAAGTAGTCGTTTTATTTAATTGAGTAGTTTCCTGACACCATGAATTTCTCACTTATAAAAGTGTGGTTTAAGGTTATAGCGTGAAACAATCCAAAGCGTTCATCACTACGCTAGACTGAAAAGTTATGTGTAAAGTGAATATCAATAAAACCTCAAAGTATTTTTACAAGACTTGCTTATAGTTTTCCAACCTTTGCAGTCACTGAGGCTGGTGAGGCATAAAGCTGTCCGTGAAGACAGAACCATACAGCATAGTGGTCTACACTGTCTTAATGAAATATTGAATGTGGAGGCAAAAGGTGTCTTTTTTTAAATCTTCACTTAATTTTAGAACGTCTGCTAAATAAGGCAGCTAGAATAACTGTCAAGCAAGACAGAATTCAACACAGACCTATAATAAGCAATTCTGCGTGTAGCACATTTAAGTTCAGAAGAACGTACTGGTATTAAAATAAAAGCCTAGCACCAATTCAGGAAAGCTATGACCATTAAGATGAATCATTTCAAGAGAAGTAGACGGCCAGTTTTTAGTCTTTTGCATGTCAAGAACCAGTGGTTCATAATTCTTAGCGTTATAACTCGATACATTACATACCGACGTATAAGTGTTTTTCAGTCTTTACTATCACCAAAATTTTAATGATTATCGCTGGACTTTACTTAAATATGATGTAGAATAACACATTGTTTTAAAGCAGCACAAGCTTGCCTAACCCGCCTCAGCATAAGATTTCTGTTCACCTGTTTGTTTGTCTAAACTGTTACTTTGTGATCGCCTAAGTAAACTCATTGTGCTACTTTGGGCTATTCTTTGAACTTATGACGATTACAGCGTACTTCTTCCTTAATACTATAAGATTTGGTTCCGAATGATTTGTAAATTTGAAAGCCAGATCAGCTCTAATTCTGTTAAGAATATATGGAAGAACTTTTAATCATTTTACTTTGTACAATAGTGTTTGTGGAAGGACTGAGCTCTGTTAGTGTCCTTTCCAGTTACTGCATATATTTTTTAGTGTCTTAGTCATTCTTGCCAATAACTATAGAAGTATAGAAAAACAAAAGATGAGTAGAAAGAAGTTCTTAAGGTACTTCTTTCGCTTTAAAGAAATTTTTAGTTCAAGGATTCACACTATAATTAATATCAGTAAGCGATGTTTAAACAACTTTTTGGTGATAACAATATTTTTATGGCAAGGAATGCACTAAAAGACGGTATACCATTGATGTAAGTAGTTAGTGGTTATAAACTTTACCTCAAATCCTACTTAACTATTGTGCGTAACCTCTTTCGTCGTTTGAAATCTTGCAAAATATGGTGTTTGTGGGAAGATAAGTTGGTGGCTTGTATTTCACTCACTAAAGTTACAGAAAATGAATTCCTGGTGACAAGATGGAAAGAATGAGCTTGACTTCATACCTGGTGCATAAATACCCTTTATCAAAAGTAAACTAAAGCAAATTTACCATTTGAATCTAACAACTACTTCTTAAGTCTTCAAAATGTTAGATAACACTGAAAAACACGATAAATTAGTAAAACCTTGTTCAGCAGTTATCTGTTTACACTGTTTCAGTTGTCAGCTTACGCAGTTTGACTTAGCCAATTTTAACTGGCATAAAGTCAACGAACAATCTGTAAATAAATGATATGTTACGTATAAAATTTTGTATAACAGCTGGTAGATGAAACAGATGGTCAATCTGAACGAAGAATACTCTGTTTAGGTTCATACAATTATAAAATATACTATTCGTTGTCGTCACAGTAATGGCCAGTTATGCGGTGGATACATGTTTATATTAGAATAAAAAATTAGTACCTACAGAATGACAAGATAAACAGTACTTGTATGACAATCGTGCTAGGCTGAATTCAACTACAAAATATTGTGAGCTGTGAGACAATGGTGGTGATCAGTCACAGTAGATTAGTAGAATCTAGGGTAGGAAAAAGTGACAAATCAGTTCACGGCTACATATAATAGGTGTCAGGTGAGTAGCTAGTACAATGTAGTATGCATTGAAGCGAAGATAATAACACTGTACCGAATATCTAGCTTATCAAGAAATAACCAATAGATGAAATGGGGAGATAATAATATCACTTATAATAAGTTCGATTAGTATAAATGGAGAATTCAATAGTATTGGAAGAACGCTAGGATGAAGGATATAAATTGTGACGAAGATCAATAATAATTGTAATAAAAAGCAAAGAAAATGAAAAAGAAAGCGATAAAAAGAAAGGGACCTGAAAAGATATTACTGAAAGGAATATCCTTCGTTCATACTGACTTTTAATTCCCGACATGGAAATACTTCACACTACTGAGACAGAGAGTATTCGATATTTCCTAAACTGTAGAAATAATGAGTAGGTGGACATTTTTTATAGGATAAATATTTATTCATTTTTATCATAGTCTGTCTAATTTGGTAAACTCCACAAGATGCAGGAAATATCAAGTTATCTGAATTGTTCAACACTATTTTGGTATTAAGCGCTTCACGGTTGACGAAACTGTTATATGATGAAATTGGCGGCAATTGCTACACCAGAATAATACTTTGTTTGTCATCCACTCCTGATCCGGAGACGTATACACTTCTACTCCGACTAACGTCACAATTTACACACATTACAAACGCTCCAGTTATGAATGATGATTGTGCCTTGTTGTTGGCGGCAAGAGCAAGAGAAGCCCAGTATCTTCTGGAACAAGTCATTCTTGAACAAGATGATAAAACAAATATCAACTCAATATATAACGGGAACAAAATACGAAATACTGACCCTCCTTTCGTAAGTATAAGGCTTTTAATTTGTTTCACCACTGATAATCAGTTAATGGTCGAAGTAATTACTGCACAGTAATCGTAAGACATTCCCTACTCCATGTAATGCCTAAAATTACAAAAACAACGTGTCTCTGCATATATACTGATAACTTCATGTCCCTAATATTTCTCAATTGATGTTTGCTTTGCTTATATGGATAGTGTTTGTGAGTGTGAAATTCATTTTAATATTAAGTAAAACGAACAGCTGAATAAAGCCACTGACTAGAGGCTTGCTGTGTGTCGGTGGCACAGCGATGAGGAGTTCGATCCCCGGCCACCGACGCACTCCTTTGCCTCACTGAGCCAGAAATAATGCTGGTAAAGAGGAAAGATTGAGCATGAGGCTAGCAACCCCATCCTGTAAAAGTGAACACTGCAACAGAAACTTCAAGCCTCTAGCTTGAAGCCCTATGTTCCATTGGGGAACGTGAAGGGAAAAAAAAGAAGAAGATGCTTACTAATGACTCTGATAACTTTAGACCTAAAAATATATGTCCGCTGATAACTATCCAAATTAATAGATATTTGAAAATTACAACAATGTAGTCAGTCAACTAGGTGCGAAGTTCTAATAAAAGAAAACAATGTGTTAATTGTAAAATAAAGAATAAACTAAAATAAAGTAACTACATTGGCCCTACAAAATTACCAGTGACTAATCAGGGATGAAAATATCACAATGCAAGTAGTGTATTCTTACAAATTCCTGTGAACCTGACTTTCTTTTGGCTATAACAGGAAGCTGGAGAGATTTGTATTCACTTGAGTGATTTTTCTGGATGAATGTTTTGTGCTTGCACTTAACTGGTAATATCCAGCAATAGCAGTTCTTAGCCTTTATCACTTATCTCAAAAAGCTGATGTAGCTTAGAATACGTACAGTTAGAGATAACCGTGTTAAGTCTAAGGATTGAGTTCGATGGAATATAGTGAAGGTGGCATAGGCTTTAAGTCGTAATCTAAAATTTATGTGGAAGAGTAGGCTGAAGACGTCTATTTTGTTCATTATTATTATTTTATTTCATTCCCTCGAGTTCCCTGTGAAACATAACACTTCAAACAGGAGCTTCGAAGTTTCAGTAGCGGTCGTTTTTTATGGGATGGGGTCGCTAGCCGGGCTTACTACTGACTAAGTGAGGTGAAGAAGTGCTTCGGCAGATGATCTGATCATGGACCTCCTGCTTCGTTGGCCAGTGTCCTACTACTGAATCACCGGCTCTGGCTCAAGGCCCGCAATTCCTACTTCTCTTAGATGCTGTTACCAACTACAAACACTTAAAGACTCCACACAACCTATAAGTGCAGATAGAGTGCAAAATCATAAATTTGAACGGGTCTCATAACAGAATAATACACAATACAATACACAATGATATATTGCTAGCCACAATGAACTAAATGACATCATGTTAACCATCAGACGGTGTATAAGCGTCCGTACTAGGAGCCAGTATTTCAACACAGACTGAGTATTTCAATCCAGTATGAACCAGTTGACGGGAAATTCGAATTAATTCAAGTAATAATAATATATGACTGAGTTTTTTATCAAATGGAACGGTTCTGTTATGGAATTATACTTTACCACTGTGCCTAAATTCTATTTTTGTATCAACAAGAATTGGCTTATTATGGGGATGTAAGTTTTCAAGAAATATCGGAAATTAAAATTTCTTGCAAGCGAGGCTGACTCAGGCAGTTTTCGGTAGTCATACTAATATTTATGTAACAAGCTGTGATTAAAATGGAAGCTAGAAAATTGATTGTGAATTGAGTGGATAAATTCATCGAATTCAAAGATATTTTTAAACTCTGTTGAACCTACTTAATATTTTATAAGTAGGTAAAGAGTATTTGCGAAATATTTTCAATAGACTGTTTCAAAATTATTAATGCTTTCAAATTTTAGCTCAGATTAAAAGAACATGTTCAAGAATTATCTGAGAGCCTTGAGAAAACCCACTTGGAATTGGCACATGCCACTGATGAGCGTGTAAAATTATCGAAAGCATGGCTTGTAAGTGAAGAGGATAGAATGCAGGCGAATGAAAAATTAGCCCAGACCGAGTTGCAACTACATGAGGTTCGTTTGAAAGTAAGTACAAGGACTGTTTATAGAGAGTACATTGTTTTACGAAGCCAGTAACTCGGTAAATATCATTTACGTGTGGATGAAACTTTGAAAGCTTCTAGTCAACATAATAAAAACCTTTGCATATACCATCCTCACGAAACAGGATGGATTACCTTGCGTTATCAATGATTATTACTATTACCTTCATAACTGACGCATCACAGGACAGTTTGATACTACTAAAAATTCTGTTAGATACTGACATTATTGGTATCACTTGTTCACAAGAGATCCTATTGAGGGATTTAACATGATCGAATGATCAGCAATCAATCAAACAATCACGATCATTAGGGATATATGTCAATAAGCAGGCAGTTAAGACTGAATCTGTGGTCGTCGAATTGCTGAGTTGTCAGGTCAAAGATCAGCAGTGTGAGTCCTGTTGGAATCACCAGACTGTGTCATGAACAAATCAGGTCTCTGTCTGTCTGCCTGTTTTCGACATAGAACTTTGCACATATGTGCACCAGTTCAAGTCGCCACACTCCATGTAGCACACAAAGCAAGAGAAGAAAGTACAAGAAATGCATAATAGAGACAGTAAACAGAGGTGTGAGACAAAGGAAGAGTAATAACGAAGAACAATATAGTTTCACTGGAAATCATAAGTCACAGGGAGTGGATGCATCTGTGCCACTGAGAACGATTTTGAGCCATATCACCAATTGTTTCCAACCATTGGTTTTTGCCGTCCCGAGGACCCCAACCAGGAAGTCTACACCTTCCTACGTGGTTTAGACTAACTGTTGTGGATTTCATTGACTGGTGCCATATCTTGGTTTGAACACCGTTAGCTTTTTGCCAGCCTGACCCTGTATCCGCTAACATCACTCGTCGAGGAAGGCTATGACTAGGCATACGTAACACATGGCCTAACCATCTCAGTCTTTGTAACTTCACAACCTCGTTGATTGATTTCCCCTGCTTACCTGGAACGCCTAACCTCAATATTGCTCACCTTATTATACCACTTCACACAGGGAATAAAACGCAGGCACCTATGATCAAAGACAGCTAATCTTTTCATGTCTTCCACTCTGAGTGGCAAGGTCTCACAGCCAGCCATAAAGGAGGACGGAGCGGACTGCTGAGCAGTACACCCGCCCTTTGGTCGATAGTCGGATATCTCGTCTACGTTAACTGGTAAATGCGAAATCAGGTGACTACAGATCATTCTTGTTGACATTTATAATTATTACAGACTGCACTTGTAGATAACAGAGGACTTATCACCAAACTGCAATTTTAAAATGAGGTGAGATTACACTCAGAGAGAAGAAATTTCCTTCTTGATAGACCAAATTTTAAGTTGGTTAAGTTCCCGCGATAGGGAAGTTATAAAGACACCAACACGACTGATATGATTATATTATCCAGGTAGCTAGTGATGAATAAAATACAAAGCATTATTTCAGTTGTTTCTACTGATAACCATTTGTTTAATTACTCGCATAATGCAAATATGAATTTAATTAACCAACTACACGACCATGGTTATAACGTAACATATTTTTCGCACAGTCATGAATTATTAACCAAGTTTTGTGTAATATTATCTCGCCTGAGATTGTTTTTTTCAGTCTGTGGATCGAATCTAGTTTTCAGACGATTTGACGAAATCACCGTTTGCTTGCTTTCTCTTGCATTTTCACAATGCACAGATTGATTTCATATTTACACGCAGATATACGCAAACAGAGAGAAAAACAAGTGAAATACACATACCAGGAGATCGTACAAGTGTGACTAAAATTAAAGACATGTTCAGTGTTTCTGCGGTTGAAAATAAAAGCAGGCAGAAAAAAGAAACATGATTGATTGGATCATCAAAAACCAATTCCCACGAACACCTGAACAGGAACGACGCAACTGGTTCTGAATTTGCTTCATTTGTTGCTGCAATAAACAAAAGTACAATTAAAGTGCCAATTTTTATGACCATCAATGCTATAAATATATCAGTGAGAAAACAACAATTATCGATTCTTGATTAGATAAAATTTCCAACAGTTATCTGTTCTTCCCTAACAGAAAACAGAGGAAAGGAAATGCCTCTTAGCATTTATTGCATTACAGATGGGAGGTGTATATCAGGCATGTCGTTAAGGCATCCTTACATAAAATAGATTATCGCATACCATTCACAATCCTCCTAAGTGGAACACATTTACGACCTTCCGTTCAAAACGTAAGAAGCTTAACCTTAATGCACACAAATAATCTTTGACTTTGTGCACAACAGTAGCTATCGAATGAATGATTTGTGAAGACTGATGCAGTGTACTGTTAGCACCCTAAAGTTTGGAATAAATAAAAGTTAGCTTAAATGAAGAATATCCCCCCTTCCTCAGTAAATCCTCTTTAGGTTCGTCTGGTTTAAAAATAGAATCTTTGTTATCATTAGAATAATAGCAAGCTGCGTGGAGGATACATTTTAACGTGGGATAGGTCGGCTATATAAGCAATCGCCAAGGTAAATTCCCCTCTGGATAGGATAGGACAGAGGCGGTCAGTTACAAATTGGATTTCTTCACGTAGTCAGTGTTACGCACAGTTTTATGTGATTTTGTTCTAAATGTTTACGGAAATACTACAATAATTTCAAATGTTACTTCTGGGTGTTTCAAAATTGTTCTCCTGACTTGTGCTGTTGTTTATACTATGCGCGAAATCCCCTTGAGATTATTTTTATCCTCACCTGGTGTAATATGATCACGTATTTAGGAACAGATTAGTTTCAATTTATGAGTTGACGAGATAAATAGTAACTCTTTAATTAAAAAATTGATGAACCGAATGCAAGGAGAAAATAGTGAGAGATTGATGAAGATGATGAATAGTTATAAACGGCTGATAAGTTATCTCATCATAAGTACATGTCTGTTCACTAGTTGATATAAGCTGGAAAAACGTGGAGTGCTGCGCATCTGTTTTGTTCTAGCTTCAGGCTCTTCATCTGTAGGTACTTTTTGGGGTTCGAACCCACCACCTTCCGTTTTTAAAAGGCCAGCTCGTAGACTGTTCAACTACTGGGATCTGATCCAGTAGCCCACGAACTCCAAATTGTGTATATTTAGCGCAGTCACAGGCCAGTAACTACTCTCTTACCTGACTTGGCTCACCCCATTGGTTACGACCACCCACTACAACTCCAGGTAAATTCGTGTAGTTGTTAAAGGTGTTTATTAAATATTTGGTTCATTCTGAGCCTACAGTATCCTACATTTCGGCCAAGTCTTTCATGGTTATTTTATTGATAAAAGCTCATCATTAAGATATGTATGGTTTAAGCATTTTGCACGAGGACTAAACACAGTTATTCTCGTATGGTTGTGGAGTTTGCTTGCCTCTGAATCAATATTTGTATCTTGTGTATATCCGGCTAATAGGCTGTTTCTACATCTAAGAGTGAAAATTTTTCTCATTGGCAGAATAACTTTTTCCTACTGAGACGAATGATCCTTTGAAGCTAAAGAACAAGTTATGGTTTGACTAGCCTTGGTGGTAAACTTTCTTACTGTAAAATTAAGTGAAACAGTCTCGAAAAACAGAGGAAGAAGCGTATCAGTTTCCTCAGAGAATGTCGGTACCTACTGACATTAAAATACTAGCAAATATGGAATATTTTACCATGTTTATTTTCTTTACCCATTTAGAACGATGAACTTCGTATGCTTTGTGAAAAAGGCACAGAAGCGTTGAAACATGTTACTGAATTGCAAAAGTCCAATGAAATGCTGAATAGGTATTGTACTAAATTGAAAAGAAAACTGGAAGATCTACACAAAGAATTGGATAAAATGGTAAGATTGTGTGTGTGTGTGTGTATATTGTTGTGCTGTATTTCAAGTGTTACCGTGAAGAGAGAGTAATTTTAAAAAAATGTCAATGTGTCAGGATTGTGTATGCTTAAAAACATTTAAATTATTTTCTATGTGTAGAAACTGTTTTTGAGATTGAGATTTGTTCAAATCAGCGTAGAATTACGCATTCATTATCATCCTTTGAACTTTGCAAAGCTTCAATAACATTCATCCATGCCACGCAAATTTATCTTTTTTTAGCATTGTTCTGTTGTCTGCTTCGGCAAAGTGTATCTAACTGAACTTATAGATTTTGCCGTGGGGCTCAGAATTTATTTGTTGATCGATAATCATTTGCACACATACGTCATATATAAGACAGATCTGGAATTCTCGCTTTCAGATAACCACTAAGTACTTTAATATATAGAAATGACAACAAAATGTGAGCAGAAGACTAGATAACATGATAACCTTGACCAGTAGCTTTTGGCTTACCTGCTGTCAGTTAATCAAATAGGACTTGATATCCCCATTTAAATTGGGTTACATTTCCTCTTCAGTTCTGAGGAGTTTCATTTGCTACTCAACAAAAATGCAGAGGAAATTGGATGCTGTTCGGGCGTACTCTGAGGAGACCGTCTGGTGACGTCGTGGTCCAGGCAAACGCTCCAGACGAACCTGAATGTGAGACAAAGAGTTGGGTGTCCGAATGAGACATGGAGGAGATCAGGTTCAGAGGAGATTAGAGCCTATGGGAAGTTGTGGGGCTAGCTAGAGAGGATTGTAGGGAACAGGAAAGAAGGGAGTCTGGTATCGAAGCTCCATGTTCCACTCGGAACCCACAAGAATAATGGTAACAAATTAAAATTACTCTCAACCAAGTCTCTTTGTGTAAGCTGACTTCCTAAAATATTAATATCTAGGAATAATGATTCATTTAGTAACGGAAACAGGAATAGACAAAATTACTTTTGACTAAAACTATACGAAAATAATGGATGATTATAGATTTGTTTCACTCGGTCACTGAGTCAGTTTCCAGGGTTGTTCATCCGAATACTATCATCAGCATGGTTGACATTTCAAATTAGTCAAGAGCACCATACATAGTGAAACACTTTTCTAGCTAATTGTGTTTTGAACGGTAGGGTCGAACATATAACTCGCTCTTACCAGTCACTTTTAAAATTACAGATTTCTACCAATGTATGCACTAGTTTACTGTACAATTCAGTAATGTAGAATGGTTGACGTCGCACAGATGATATATCGAGTTGGCGATAAGTACATCTGACTTTGAATCTAGCAGTCTGTCGGTTAGCCTTTTAGGGTTTAGAAGTTTAAACCAGCCAAAAATCATACCAATCACATTTAAATATGAAAAGCGAGTGGTACATTGTATGTTTCCTTTAGAGAAACTTCCCGTCTTCAGCAATCTATCGTTTGATACTCCACTTATATAAGCAAGCCTTTGTATTCCGTGATACAGCCTCATGTTAACGTCTCCTAGTTACATGCTTCCAAACAATATTTCAATTGATACAATGAATTAAAGAAGTCAAAAGCGGTTGTTTCTATGTTACGACCAATAGCTTGTATAGCAGTTTGGAATAGTAGTTGGTAGTGGGAATAGAGCTGGCGCAGAAGATGCCGATGCTAGACAATTACTGAAGACTGTTCAGAAAAATGACCTGATAATGCAAACAATTGATAAAACTGCGAATGAGAAACATGTTTTCTGTATAAACCTTTTTCTAACAGATGTTAGAATGTCAGGCAAAACACTTTAGGTGGTATCTGAAATGCCATTCAGACTTGCTTCATAGGATTATCCATTTGTGACAAGTGAGTTTGGCGTATTCACTAAACAGAGGGTACTGAGATTGGATGAACCGGTGCCCCCAAAACATATGTTCTATACACTAAACCACTGTGTGATCCAATGTAATTTGTTCGGTTATAATTAAAGCTATGGCTAATAATTGATAGCAATAGTCTAGACATATTCATAATTCACCTCCTCTAACAGCTAACAGTATATTTATTCTGGCTTTATATATATATATATATATATATATATATCACAATGAAACAGTATTGTTTACTGTCTAGCTGTGGGTGTTTATATTTAAATTAACTGGATGTCTAGATGAGGATTGTGGAGGGGAGTTGTATGGAAGGTGAAAGCTATACGATCGGCAAAATCAGCTTGGTGCACATCTCCCTCATGAACAGTGCTTTGTTTCTTCTTTTTTTTTCCTTGCTGTATCGAAAGACTGCATAAAATTCAGTCGGAGGTTTTTGGATAGTTCCATAAGATTTTTAGGCTAAAATGGCATGGCAGTACGAAGAAAAGAAGTGAAGTCCTGAGCGTTGATAAGCATTTTATATTGTATTAACGGTTAAAAGTTACGAACCGCCTTCCGCCCCCCACCCTCCCTTAGAAATCTGCCAGTAAACAGAGGTTTCCTCCTGGTTCGAGACTTAGCAGCGAGATAAATGCCTCTGTTTCAGTGCATTTACTGATTATCTTTATTTATACCTTTCTATATTTTGTTCCTCAGTTTTTTTTTTAAATATTATTTTGCATTTGGAACAGCTGTTGTTCCGTGTTTAATTCTACCAGGGAACAAAGTAGTTTTCACATTTAATAAAAAATCTACCTACTACGATGTAGGTAGATTTATTGATGAAGTTAACAAATGCACTTTAAACTGATGCTTTAATAGAACATGGTTTCAGTAGATATCACTTTGTGTGTGTCTTCTGCCTTATTACTGTTCCACTTATTGTCCGTGTTTTTTTTAAACTGTTTTATAATTTATTTTTACCTTACCTAGTCAGTAACTCTTTGGACTAGTTAGTTTCTTTACTAATATCATATTATTCAGCGTTACAGAAACGTAAACCGGCTTTTCTGAGTTTATCAACTGGCTGGTTGGCTGGTTGTTTTCAGTCAGAATGCTGACTGAATCATCATAAGTTACTTAATTAGTCTGGGATTTTTGTTTGCATTAAGCCTGCGCTTCACCTTTATCCGCCACTTATATATATATATATATATATAAGTGGCGGATAAAGGTATATATATCGTAATCACTACAATTTAGTTTGTTCGCCTAATTACCGAATGTTATTTAATGTTTATTTGACTAGGGATACAGAGAATCGCTTCAGTAGTTTAGCTGTTTTGTTATAAGTGCATGAAGGAATCATTGTAAAACCAACGAATATTTAATACGAATACTATCCAGTTCAGAAAAATCTTCCTCATTATTTTAGAATACTATATAGTTAACTATTTCAGTTATTTTTTTGTGAACTGTGACTGTGTATATCTATGGTGAAATTCAAGCATGAACACTACCGCCGGAGGAATATGTTACTTCCAGGGTAAATACTTAGCACAGATGACGATATTTTCAATCAGTAGTGGCTATTAAGAGAGAGTGAAACCAAGCGAGTTACGCCCATAATTTTTTTAGAAAGATCTTATTTTACATGGAGATTTGTAGATTTCCTCAAGATACAACAGTTAACAGTGTTGCATAACTGGTATAACTGCCAAGCAGTTGCTCTTCTTATATACATATTTGTAAAATTTGCTGAGATTACTTACGGCATTGACTGAAGTATAACTATGGACCTTGTTGACTGAATTTCAACGGTTCTATAATCACAATAACTTATAATGATAACGGACCGGTGGTAAAACACTAATCACATTAATTCCATATGATTAAAGGCTAAGAGAAGTTTGACTATTACAGGTATATGTAGAAGCGGGGTAGAGAATAATGCCATTTAAATTAGAACTAAAATTAAGCAAATAAGTTGGATGACGTAACATAAGTGACTAGAAATTGAGTGTTGGTCAAGTCAGTAACAGTGGTAATGAGGTGCAGAAATTAAATCGGGTGGGGGTAGAGAACAAGAAGGTTGAAAATTAAAAATATTACAACTGAGAAGACAAAATAATAATACTGAAGAGACAGAAGAGAAATGGATTAGGTAAATTTTCAACCTTCTTGTTCTCCACCCCCAAGTGATTTAATTTCTACATTTCATTACCACTGTTACTCACTTGATCAACGCTCAGTTTCTAGTAACTTATGTTACCTTATTACAGGTATATTCTAACAACTATTCTATTCCGCTAAAAAATGCTAATTGTTGATTTAAGGCACATGGAGAGATGTAGACTGTTTCCTTTGGGTTATTGAGACAATAAGCACCAATAGCTGTAGACTGTTGGTGAAGTTATCGGAAATAGTTCTCAATGGAGTGGATGCATTCACTGCTCGTTATCTTCCGAATTCATGAAGTCCTTATTATTCTCCTTGTAATTATTCTTTCCTCCGCATGTTTTCATTTATTATAGTTCCTCTGCACTTCTTCCCTCTCTCTTGTTTCATGTGAACTTTTATGAAGTGCAAAATTATACATCTAAAATGCCGCTCAGTTCAGCTGTCTTCTGCACTTATTTTCACCTTTCTTTACTATTACTATATTGTGTCTAATTCTAGTGAAATTGTTTGTCATAGCAGTATTATAGTCGTCAAAACGTCAGACTGTAGAGAATCATTATTATTAATTAGGATCTGCCATCTGATGATTTGATTTCTCCTTGAAGATCTGCATGTCCACACTGTGTGATTAAAAGCGAAAAATGAGATAGACTATAACTACTATTGATGTCATGCCGATGCTTATTTCATTCGGAGCGTTACATTTTTATACCACAAACATTCTAGTTTGAATTTTACTCACTGTATGTTTTCCATCTGTTTCACTATTATCCTTTTATAACTGGGCCTTACTGTTCATCATGAAACTGTAATAACTAGGAATGATATTCACTGCAAGTTCGAATCTCTTTGAGACTCCAGTTTTCCACAGAATTCCTTACGTTCACAAAAATCAGTTCATAAAACCAAGGATATCTTAGCTGACCATGTAAAAATGAATTCTCCCTAACTATGTGCGATAACCTCGACATTTTTTGAATTTTTCTTTCTTGACGTTGTGCAATTTTCTTAAGAATGCAAAAATGGGAGTAATTTTCGTTATAAAGATACTCCCTGTTACCTTTGTTTATGCATTATTCGAAGAAGTCCTCAGTAGTTTAAAGCTCAAAGAAGGATAACAATTTTTTTTCAATAACTTCCTCCTCAGTTTCTATAGACTGATACGCAGTGTGTATGCGTCTAACTGTGAAACTTGAAAGTGAGGCTGTTGAAAAGGCAAATTTCGTACTAACGATGTATTGCATGTAACAACTCTTTCCGAATTCTCAGTTCACTATCGGCAAAACTCATCCATGTGTTAGTAGTGAGGATGTGGATGATTTCAGCACGTTTGTACAGTCAACAGACAACTTCATGAAATAATTTACTGGGTACCCGTGAAACTGGATTTTACGTGTACTGCCACTGGTTAGCAAGGAGCATCAACAGCCTTTGAGGAAGTGACGTCCCTCAGGAGACTCGAACCTGTATTGCTCAGTCACCATTGAGATATTCGGACCCGTGACTGACCTCCTATAGGACTATAATGGTCACAGTGATTGATCAATTAATTCCATCAGTCTAGCATATTCGACTCCAAAGTGTCGAAGCATATTCCTATGCAAAAATATAATGAAAATGATTGAACAGATAAACGTCTTGTTGTTAAATGCCACAGTAAGTTGATTTCACTTGCAATACTCCTTCAGACATTATGTATGTTCAGAGTCGTAGATAAAACAAATGATACGGCCTGTTTTATGCCTGTTTATTCAACTGTCTAATTTTTGTCAGCTGAATGTAAGGTCTTTTTCCTTAGAAACACTGCATCTCGACTGATTTTAATCAAAGCATAAAGAGAATCAAGAGCTTTAACAAGGATGATTAAGGAAACAGGTTATATGAGTCGTTTTGCATAAAATATTTCGTTCACCTTTTTGTCTGTTATCGATTTAGTTTACCGTTTTGAATACATAAAATAGTCTGACTGATTTATTATCAACCTGAGGAAAAAATCAGGTTTATTGTCGCACGTATGTCGTATAACTGACAGGACAGTCTGTCTGTCTGTCTGGCTTCAACATAGAACTTGGCACCGACGTGCAGCAGTTTGAGTTGCCACCTTCCAAATAGCACACAGAGGTAGACAAGAAGATGAGTGAAGAGAATCAATACAGTCTGACAAGTATAAGAGTGAAACAGGATGGGTAATGGTAGAAAGGAATATGAAAGATTACAGAGACTGAATACATCTGCGCCATTGACAACGATTTTGAGCCATGTCACCTATTGTCTCCAGCCATTGATTCCTAGAGTCCCGAGGGCCCCAACCTGGGAGTCTGCATTTCCCTACCTGACTCAGTTTAACTGTCAAGGATTTCATGGATTGATGCCATGTTTTTGTTTGGCCACCACTGGCTCTTTTCTAACCTGAACCTATATCAGCTAGCAATGCCCGTCGGGGGAGGCGGTGGTTAGGCATGTGCAGCACGTGACCTAGCCATCTTAGTCTATGTAACTTTATAGCCTCGTCGATTGATTTTCCCTCTTTGCCCAACACTCTACGCCTAACGTCAACATTACTTACCTTGTGAAACCACCTAACGTGAGACAGAAATCGCAGACATCTATGATCGAAAGCAGTCAACCTTTTCATGTCTTCAACTCGTATTGGCCATGTTTCAGAGCCATAGAGAAGGACGGAGCGAACTGCTGAGCAGTACACACGTCCCTTGGTTGATAACCGGATGACAGGACAGTTATTCAAACAAACAAATGAAAAGGATGCATGAGTGTCAACCATATTCCCATCTGATAATAATTCTTCCTCTAAGTATTATTATGTATTATGCAACTACTTACTTTCAGTTTTTGCGTCGATGCTTCAGTTGCGCGACAGCAGCCAACTAAACACGTTGTCCGGGCTTAAGATTCCCACTGGCGCTCACTCAATTGTAAGACCGGTAAAAAAGGAAGGTTAGACATAAAGCTCATCTTGTCAAAAGAAACACCACTGCAACTGAAACTTCAAAGCGGAAGCGTGAAGCCCGCGTCCCACTTGGAACGCAAAAAAGGCAAAAAGAATAATTACTTTCAATTATTTACTTTCACTCCACCTCTGCTTTGGTTTGAATAATAGTCATTAAACTTAATGGGTTTGTATATATTCTGTTAGGAAATATGTTTTTTAAATATAAAAAAACTTCCAAAGACAATAGTGTAAAAAAAATGCATACACTTGCTGTTGTACAGAGATAGATCTTTCAAAAGAATGGCTGCTTAACAAAGAATACTATTTTCAATAACCTCTTCTTCACCAGGTTCTACAGTTATATATATATATACATCATTGTGAATGAATTAGTGTCATGAACAACATTAATGTTGTTTAAATAACGTCAAATAAATAATAATATCAACAGATTATAGTTCAGCAGCATCAACATAACAATATACGCTGAATATCAGAAAAACTAGGAAAGATAATAATACAAATTTATGAATTTACAGTCTCCACTGAAAGCCGGCCATGGTAGTAGTAGTAGTGGCTGGAATTGCTTCTTCTGCACACAAAGCGCTGGTTGATTCACACGAATTGCGATACTCTCTGGTATTTGGAGCATGCGGTGCCTCGATTTTTTTTGGCAACTTGTTTGGTATCCAGTAGATGATAGAGAAGAATTCTTCAACGCTGACGGTTTGGATCAGGTGGTTTAATATCGAATTGTTGATGGTGTTCACTAAACCTTCACTTAGCCATAGTGGGAGATGTTTTCGAGCACTAAAAATCAAGTTCCTAGAGCAACGGCCAATATAAATTGCTCCACAAGCGCAGTTGAATTGGTAGATACAGTTGGAAGTGGCTAGTCTAGATACTTCATCTTTCAGTCGACAAATCACGATTGGTCGTGTTAGAAAAATGACTTGACGTGACAAGAGATAAATCTCTTGATTGAATGACATGTTATCGTTTTACGCACGTAAATCATGCAACATGGAAAATTACGCGACGGTTTGAACTGATTCGGCTTTCTATGCTAAGTCAAACTGGTGGCATCGCTGAAAAGGTTGGCGTCACACAAACAACACGACCTTTCACGGTGTAGATCACTTCAATCTGGCCAACAAGCACTAGAAACGGTAACCGACTCCTCATATCAATCAATCGGTGGTGTACAACAGTAAAGTACGGAGAAGGATATTATTGAAGCTTTTAGTGTTTACAGAATGAGAACAGGTAAATACATTTATATTATGGTGAATGAATATTGATTCACCGCACTACTGATTCTTAACATCCAAAAAACATTATTGACTTAGCAGTCTACAGCTGTCTGTGTTGTTCCAGAAAATGAACTATGTCGTATTCGCACTCTGATCTACACAGAAAGAATCACATCTTTCAAAATATTCACAAAAAAGTGACACGTAGTTGTGTCCATCTGCGATACAAAGCCCTATTGAAGGATATGCCTCTAATGGATAAGCTATGGCATGAATGAACCTAAAACCTGAGAGTGATTGCTTCCTCGTGAGATTATGAATCGCAGGATGTTATATGCTGTGTTAGTGAAGCTAATTCTCCTGTGATTATCACAGAAAGCTTTGTCCTCTTTGTTATAAACTGTAATGACGACAGTGTATACCAGTCTGATGTGACTATAATGGATTCTTATGCATAGATCGACACTTCATTTATTTTAGCCAATAGTTAACCAGCATCATTCCTTAGCATTGTTAGAATTCGACCATCAGGCTCTGTTCTTATACCCCATTTCAAATTAGAGAAATGGATTGCAACAGGACCCCAATTTTATTAGCATTCTTCATCACCGGCCAATACGGTTTTCGTCCTTCCCGGAACTCATCCTAGGATGTGGTAGTGTTCTCATTTGTCAGCCAACACCTGATGGATTACACCAAATTAGAATGGAAGTTATCATTGGGGTATGATTTTCAGGAAGTCCGTATACCAACAGAGATAAAACATTAAAAGCCAAACAAAAGATGAGGGAATTCATTGGTTTTAAAAAGTTACACTAGCTTGGTATTAACACCCTATCAATTCTGAATGTTTGTTATAACCAGTCGTCACATACTATTCATTATTCAGTAGTTTAGAACAAACATGAGTGTTTTCAAGTATTGGTTTGTAGGGATTTGATTTCATCATGGGCCATTGTATTGGCGGGTCAAATTGGCTTAATGGTCTACGAGCTAGCTCGCCTTCTAACCAGAAGATCCAACCCTCTTGCTGTGTGCGTACTGATGAAGAGTCCCAAACTAGGGCGAAACAGTTATCTGGTACTTTCTGCAGGTTTTCCAATTGTTCTCTAACTGATTTCAGCTCATGATGAAATCCTGTAACTAAACATGAGTGGTCTTTCTGTATACCCATATGCTTAACTGCTCTTTTATTGTTCTTTTACCGAAATTCTGCGTTTTCATACCTTTATTGTTTTTTGCGTTGCTTCTTGTGTTTTCTCAGTCCATGCGTAACGAAGAGCTGAGTCGTGAACTGCTTCATCAGACAGTAGAACAAAAGTCTGTACTGACATTTTTGGCAAACAAAACTTCGAACAGGATGAAAGAATTACCAAGATTTGAAAAAGAATTAAATCGTGTAGAAATGATGCTTGGCGTGAAATCTCATAAGAATGGAAGCGAGAATTTCAATCCTTCTGTAAGTTGTAGGCGGTATTTCTATTTGAATAGATTTCTTTTGCCATAAATTTAATATTCATAGAATGCAGCTGTGTGTTAAGGTGTGCAAACAATTGGCATTTATAAGTGAACATGTGACATCAGAAAAGTTTCCCTTCTATAAAGCATTCAACATGATGTTGGTGGTGGTTTGCAGTGGAATTCACGATCCAGAGTTTCACTTAACACAGGACTTGCTAACTGGATATACGTGTGCCTATGTGAGTAGGATTGCTCTCACCGAAAATACTCAAGCTATTTAGTAAAATTTCTATAAGGATAAAACTTGGGCACTGTGACAGAGTGAAGAATAAAAGGCATCTATAGTCTTGCCAAATAAGGAGGGAATATCTGAGACTCTATGTACGATTCTCAACAAAGCAGGAATTAGAGTGGCATTCAAACCTACAAAATCACTCAAAGACCAGCTCTGTAGGCTGAAGGACCCGGTGAATCCAACTAAACAAAATAATATAATTTACACAATACCTTGCAGTGACTGTGAGTTAGGTCGACGAGTAGTCAGATTATCAGAAAATAAGGATTTAGCTAAGGTTAGAATGATTGATCCCATGATGATAAGTAATTAAGAAAAAAGCTCAACAATCGCACTGCATGCATTAACACACAGCTACACAATAGGGTGTGACGGAGTCAAAAATCTAAAGAGTAATTTAAGTAGGCGGAGTGAGAGAGGTTTATTACTGAATCCTGGGGTTCATCCAGTCTACACCCAACACAACACATGCAATAGAAGTGACTCATCATCACTAATACCAGAGAAATGGAAGATATTATTACCGCCAGTCAGTCAAATCAGAGGGGGATAATAAATAATCTCAAAATTCTATTTCAATTCAAGCGCATCACAACATTCTAACAAGTTGCTTATTTTGACTATAGAAACATCTTATGCTATTTGACTGATAACACTCGTTTTATTATTTCTGAATGTACATTATCTCATATTGAATTTTATTCCAATATCTAATCGATTCCACACATGTATATAAATGAAGCAAGAAAGTTGTGTGAGCGACTTGATATGATTATGAGTGGCAATATTTTGTGCTCGAAAAGTGGTCATCAGTTAATATTACTGTGTAACACTGTGTGATTTTATCAACAAAGAATTTCTTATCCATAATGTAGTAAAAATGTTATTGGCTACGTTACCATCCCGCTAAGTTTAATAATTAATCACCGATAAAAGTTGTGCTATGTTGATCATACCCATAAGTGAAGGATTTACGCTCAGACTTAACGAATCTCCCCGGCTTTGTGTTCCACTACCGATCCTTTTATGTTAGCACAAAGTCATTGTGACGTAAAAAATGAATTGTAGACTAATATGAGAAGAAAATATAGTAAAAATGGGAAAAATAACCTAAAATATAAGGAAACTTAGATACTAATTGTTAAGTCGATCCAAATGTCCACATCCTCAGTTGATACGTTTTCTAAGACACTAAACCGTTTTAGTTTAAAGTCTGGAAGGTTTTTTTCAGTCATTACCAATGTCTGCGAGAGAGACAGCTATATTTTTTATGAAGCACTCGAAAAACAGGCTTCACATTGAAGTTAACGCTGAAGATGTTGCCCAGAAAAACAACGGAATCTTTTCAGTTCCCCTTCTACGTTTAGGGAATATGATAAAAAATCAACACAAAAGAACCGAACAGAGGAAAAAGCAACCTCTCGATAGAAGCTGATCAATTTTACTTTGTTATTCAGCACGTTCTTCCAGCGCTGTTGAAGATATTGAAGCCTGACATTTGGACAGCTGACCTGATTTTCAGGCATTGGTTTGTAGGGATTTGATTGACTGGTTACAGGTTTTCGTCATGAGCTGACATTGGTTAGAGAATCATTGGAAAACCTGCAGGGAGTACTGGATAACTGTTTCGTCTTAGTTAGGGACTCGTCAGCAGCGCGAGCATACTACTACGGTTCCAACACAGCACTTTTTGGTTAGAAGGCGAGCTAGCTAGTAGACTATTAATCCACTTGGATCCGCTAATTCAATGGCCCATGAATTCTAACTTCTGCCAATTCACGACATAGCGCAACCGCTAGCCAATGTCTTCGGCGAGTATTTCTCCTCACACCCGACCTAGTGCACCTCACGACTTCTCACTAGAATCTCAGGTAACTACCTACCTGAATAGAGTCAGTCTCTAGTGAGCATCTCATTGATAGTCAAGTATTGGTTTGTAGGGATTTGATTGATTGGTAACAGGATTTCATCATGAGCTGATATCGGTTAATTATGCTCACTGAAGGTCTGGTCTTTGGACAAAGGAATCATAACAAGTAATCTGCAGCATTCAGCATGATTAACTCATACCTATCGCTTAACATTTTTTTATTCTGCTACCTTCTGTTTCATTCAGCCTGAAACATTTGAGCATAAAGCCAATACGAATCCCAACTCCATTAATAATCCGTAAGTTTTACAAGTTTACTTTGTCTACAATGTGTTCAATGTGTCAATTCAAAATAGTTGAATCTGTTAACATTTTAGCAGGATGATAAAACATTAGGATCTGTAAACTATGCTAATGAGGACATTCACACCCACCGTGACAATTGTCCCGCCCTGTGATTCTGCTGAAATTCATCAAACTGCATTGTTTTATTTGGTTGAGGGTGGTTAACGGCGAACTCAAATATGCACTTTCCATTCTGTTTACCGCCTCGGCCCTTTCTGACTAATGCTCTGGGATCTGAAATGATGGTCGTTAGGTTCAAGTCTCGATGCTATCATTGAGTAGAGTGGAGTTATACCTAGCTGACTAGTCCAGTGTAGGACAAAGTATGCTAACAGATGTCGTCAGTTATCTAACACCGGGTTCGATGCCCGGGCGACGCACTCCCAAACCTCACTGAGCTAGTAATAAGACTGGTAAAGAGGGAAGGTTGGGTATGAGGCTACCAAAACTCCAGAGCTCTAGCTCGAAGCCCTATGTTTCACTGGTAACGTAAAGGAATAAAAAGAATCTATATAACACCAAGTTAAGCTTAAGGTGTCATTAAGGAATCTGTGCTAGGATCCAGTATGTAATCAGAGACCGTGGATTTCAGTCCCATTCAATCAGTCAAAAGGAAATTCTAAATAACAATTTCAAAAACAAATTTCATAGTCATCTTTCCCAGAACCAGCAGATATGTGAAAATCGCAGCTAAAACTTACATAAACCATCGCATGTTTAATAGTTTCGATATCTGTTTATTTATACAGGAGCCTGTGTATTATTTTACATGTACCCATGGAAAGTCATGAGTCTCCTCAATGTTATAACTATGTCAAATAACTCTCATATGTTATTGATATATCTGTTAAATACAACACGTAAGGCGTTAGTTTTGTTCTTTAGATTATCCATCAGGCATGAATTATTGTCTGTATTCTATGAACAATTAGGTAATATTTCATAACATTCATTCTTTTTAGGGAGTGAGTGTGTAGTTATGCAAAGGAGCCTTGTGTTTAGTGCCGATTACCTTTACAACCGAAACATTTCAATGTATATATACTGGGAGGTGAGCTCAAGCGTCAAAATCATAGAGAATCATTTCCTAGTTATCTACTACAAGGTTTCAAAAACCTCGAAACGAGAAAGTTGTATTTCTTTATCGATTAGTTCACAAACAGTTCATAGGCATTATTGCATGCAAGAGATTCAAACAGTCAACTGCCGATTACTCGATTGAAGAGGGTACACTGATTATCTCTGAAACGCAGACGAAAATCAAGACAATAACCTGAGGCTATAAATTTTTAATATGAAATAATTTCACAGTACAATTTCACTCTGTGATATTTCAAATTATATTGACTCAGTTTTTTTTAATTTTCTTGACTGTCATTTTGAACAATAATAAAGAGCGTAATTCTAAACGTCTAGTTTTGTACACAACAGATATATATATATATATAGCTATCGGTTGGCAGAAATTTTGAGCTGATTTTCAAGGCGATAAGAGTATGGCATGAGTCGATTTTCTGTTATAAACATTTAAAGACGATGTGTATGCAAATCAATACACTGTGTTCTACTAAACCGTAAACAATTACAGACACACTACATGTTTACTGGGTTATCATGTTTAACTACATACAGTCCAGAAATGAGTGTATCTTCAGTGAAAATAGTGACGTTGACAATATTTAGTTGGTTTGCTACGCAAAATCCATTATTATTATTATTACATACTGAGTCAGCAGTTAAAGCAAACAATTTTTGTTCTGAAAAATAAAGATATTGTTTCATGGAATAAAGTAATTTAGAAGACATTAGAAAAGCAACCAGCATGCAATGTTCAGCAGTCGAATCAACTAAAATGTCTCTTTGGCTGAAGTCTGCTTTGGGTAGATGAATTACTTGGTTATGCTGTCATATTCGACAAAATACACACGAATCTCCAACATTTTTAACAACCTCAATAGACATTGGCTTAATGAAGATTGGTGATATTTAAAGTCCTCTGTATGGTAAGGAGGGTATACATCGACGCCATTTAAACTAATTTCAAGTGATTTAACTGAAATTCTCCAGTCACTGAGTCTTAGTACTCCAACCGTCCAAACAAGGAGTTAACAATCTCGGAAACCCATGTCAAACAGAGATTCGTGCCTATATCACTCAGACTCTTGATATTACTCATATAGTCGTTTAGCTTAAGGATCACTCCAGGTGACTACACCGGTGATCGTATTTACAATGACTCATGTCAAAGAATTGCATTAACTAAGTGAAAATCTACTGAATCCACTCTGATATCCATTTTTAGTTCCCCGTGTTCCTGATGTAAAACATGTCTTTAAGCTTAAAAATTTCAATGACGTTGGTGTTCGTTTTACTAGACTCACATCCAACCATCCCTTATTTCCTGTATTTTTTTTCATTCTTTCACGTTCCTAGTGGAACATAGGACTTCAAGCTAGGGGCCTAAAGTTTCTGTAGCAGTGTTTATTTTTACAGGATGGGGTTGTTAGCCTCATGCCTAATGTTCCCTCTTTACCAGTCTTATTGTTGGCCTAGTGAGGTAAAGAAGTGCATCGGTGGCCGAGGATCGAACCTCGGACCGCATGCACGGTTGGCGAGCATTCTACCAATGTGCCACCGACGCACTATTTCTGGTAATACTAACGGCTAATAAACTAAGGGAGGTTTAGGAGCGTGTCAACGAGGCGCTGGATCCAGGCCCTCCGCTTGGCTGGTGATTATTCCACAATCGAACCTCCGACTTTAATGACATATGGTCAAAAATATTACCCTGTTGTCAATAAGCCCATATAATGTTCTTATGTATTCTACATTTCAGTTTTAGTTAATGATAGTTACACATTTAGGCAGCTAATATTATGGATAACTATTTGGTTTTATAAAATTACTTCAATTAAAATCGGTCTAACTTGTGGTTGTTGTAGACTACAGAAAAAGAAGTATACTGATCCAAGTGACAATATTCTCAAAAAGGCTGAAGAACAAGTGGTAAGCTTGGATATTATTATTATTATTAGAAAAGTGTTCTGTACATTTTTAAGGTTATTAATTTTTTCTCCTTTTAGGCAGTTTTACGAGATAATGGATAAAAGTGGAAATTTATTCCATCCGTAGTCTTCTTTCATTCACTATTCATTATTACCACTTGAATGTTGATGTCAACCTAAGCAGATTGGTCAATAGTAGTACTTACAGGTGTATGCGTGACTGAAAAAATTGCAAATAAATTTTCAATGTTTAGCCCCGACATATTGTAGTTTCACAAGTCAGATGACTGCCTTTTTTATACAAGTAGACAGAAATCAATGATTCGAGGGTATTTACCGCTGAAAGACTGAAAATTAATAAAAGAGAGAAAAGATGAAACGACTTTTCAACCGATTTGAAGTAATGACAATTAATCATAAGGAAGCGTATGCTTACAAAAGAATCAATTTTATCAGTGATGCATGCAATATACATTTTATTCAAATTGATATCATGAATACAATTATGGGAATTAATTTCTACGGTTTTGATTAATTGAAAGGTAAATGACGAAATGGGATAAATTGCAGAACCAATTAAAACCAGAGTACTGTTTTTCTCATCTCCATTTGCAGTGGTTTTCAAGATTTCTTTAACCTGTGTCAGCTCACGATTTAACCTGAAATCAATAAAACCCTAGCAAACCAACATGTTGAATATAATCTGCTGTTCAATGAATATTAACCACAGAACTGATAACCTGGAGGGTTGGCGACCAGTCACTACTGGTATGGTCAAAGGTGTGTCGGCCGTGAGAAAACCACCTGATAACAAAGCGTGCTTGTAGCGCTATATATGTCACGGATTGACAGAAATGAGGGCTCATAGGCCATCACGTTCCACTTCAGTGACAAAAGTGAAGTGAAATGTAGTTCTGCTAAGGGTGAGAGGCGAGGTAAAATTAAAGAAACATCTCTGACAAAGAAAGTAATTACCTAATTCAAGTCCCATTCTTTACATAAATTAAGCTTCTCTCAAATCAGACATATGTATTAATTGACTAACAGTCTATTCTACTAATAAAAGTAGCTAACATCTGTGGCATGGACTATTCAATAATCCTGCTATGCAGCCATTTTCTGTCTTTCCTCTGTACTGGTTTCTTTAAGTAAAAGTGAATTCATAAACAAAGTTGTAGGTAAGTAGATTGAAGAACTGGTCTTCCTGAGACTGCGTGATTGAACACACATTTCTTTCCAGTCGACAGAGGCAGATTGACAGTTCTGGATGCTGCACATTTCGTCTTTCTAACAACCTTTTCTCACAAATTCTGTAAAACATCTACGAATAGTAATGTAGTCTGCTTTCCGCCTGCCAAATTCACAGTAACCCTGTAACAACGGCTGCATCAACATTCGTAGCCAAATACTTATATTCGCCCCCTTGATTTTCTTCAAGATCAAAGCCTGTCGGCTCTCTAGTTTTCGCAGTGTTATTAACAAATTCCAGTCGTGGTTTTAATCGTAATTTTTATCATTACGACTTCCTATGTAATGAGGACGTTGTATTTTGTGTTCTGGACATTTAATCCATTGCCTCTCAAAAGAACCGGCCGTTCATTGAGAATATGTATATATAATACATTATATCATGGTGATTACTTGCAAATCTTTATTATTATAATTGTACACAAATGAAGAAAACTTTATGAAATACACTGAATTCATCGTATGTCAAAGAAACTGTTCTTCAGAAAGCCAAATTATTCACAGTTGACTTTCTATGTGATCAACTTGATATCGAAAATGCTAGTCACGAAAGCAAGCGAAATTGTGCGAGTCTGTGTACAACTGATCGACGCCAGCAGTTAGAAGCCAATCATTAGAGGAGATCTTTGTGAATTTCCACCTACAGTTGTGTACTTCACCCACATAACCAGTAGGATTTCGAGGAGTCTGAACTGACTGACTGAATTGGTTTGGGTGTTTGAACGGATTCCGTACAGATGCACAGCTGATCAGCTGCATGCCAAACACGAGAAACGGCCATCAAGTATTTAGACTGCTATGCTATGGCTAATAAGATTTATTCCTTAACTTCCTTGATTTTAAACTAACCAAATCAATCAATAGTATAGGCAAATACTTATTCAAAGCTATTCTATCATTACTCCATTTTATTCCACATTAGATGATATGTAGAGTCTATTCACATTCTGCAGCAGTAACTGCAAGACTACGCAGATTTTCCAGCAACACTCAATTGTTTAGATTTGATTCGCATGACAGTAGGCTTACTTCTTGATTAAAGTGGCGACAGTAAATTAAAGTAGCTTCATCTCCTCATACAAATACGCTAAGTATATATGTTTTAATCTAGTCAGTGTGATATACGATGCTTTTCTAGATTATATTTGTGAGGAGACAATTTAGAGTGAATGGACTCTTGCGATTCGGTGGATTGGTAGCCGCTGTTTTGAATCCTGTTGCCACACTGATTTCCATTTCACCTCCAATCATCACCCCTTAAATATAACTGTTTACTTATTTTCGTCCTTCATTAGTTTCCTCACCATTTAAGAAATCGCGGAGATGACTGACTGAGCCTAAATCACTGCCTGACTGATGTAGGCGGTATGCTGCTTGCCTTTCGATATTCTCCTCTCTATCTTTCACCCCCTTTTTCTTGAAGAAAATCTGATCACGTTATACATACGTTTGAATCAATTTTTTATTGGAACTACCACCATGATTCGTTATCCACGTATGACTACGCCTCAGCTATTGTCAGATGTTTTGTAGTGAGGATACTCATTTTGATGGTGAGGACTTATCACTAGCTGATTATCTATTGACGAAATAAAAATAAATGAATTTTATCTGGCTGCATTTGTTGTTATTGCTCTGTCCCCCTGAAAGCCTCAGGTTCTAAGCCTAGCCCCCTTTCTGACATTCAGCCGCCAGCATGAAATCTGACAACGCTGACACAATATCGTGATGGCATTTATCTTTTAAATTCAACACAGTGGCTAGAAAATGGCGCAGTTACACGATAAACTGATGTTCCTGGGTCGGACTTGTGGTGGAATAAGGGGGTCACACTAGGATGAATTAAAAACTTGGGTGAAACAGTTACCTAGTGTTGTTCTTCTCCAAAAGCTCTTTATCCAAGTTTATTTCATGCCGAAATCTACAGTGAAATCACATAAATCTCCACAAACCAACACATGGGGATATTTGAGGTTTCTTATCCGACGTTTTAGAGATAGTGTCTGGAAATAAAGTTGGAAGACACCCTACTATGGTGTTTATCAATATATAGAAGTTCTAATTTCTCCTTTTTTGTTTAACTCCTCCGGCATAAAACCATATGGAGGAAGATAATAGGCATCATTTTTGTTTTTAAGTAGGAAAAGACAGAACATTTTTTTTAAACGACTATTTATCTAGTATTCATCTTCCATCTGGTTCCACCGCGGAGCAGATATAAACAGCATTCATGAAGAGTAGAAAATCTGCTTCAGGTTTAAGATCTAAATCACAAAAAAAGTCACTTGGATATTTACACAGAACAACTTTAATTCATCAAAGTGAAACATTTCAAACAATAGGTAATTGAGAATTCTAAATTCGCCTCAACAATGAAATATGAGTGAAAATGGAACCGCTCTATGATCATTTTATGTGTGCTTTTGTCCTTATCAAACAGACAACAACCATTCAAAAACCAGTTTCACTCTCCCTCTTTCTCTGTTGCTGTCAATAGCTCAGAAAAAGTCACAAACACATACACATGGGAATGAAAATAGAAAATAATCAGTAGGTATGAGAAAGGATGATAACACAATGAGTTCTGTGATTCTGCTTAATGACGTTATCACGTCACAACTACCAGTCACTGGAATTAGTTTATAGGAATCAAAATGAAATACATGCGTCGGTGGCATAGCGGTTACGACGCTCGCCGACCACGCAAATGGTCCGACGCACTCCTTTACCTCTCTAAGCCAAAAATCATGTTGGTAAAGAGGAAAGGTTGGGCATGGGGCTAGCAACTCCATCCTGTAAAATAAACACTGCTACAGAAACTTCAAGTCACTACCTTGAAGCCCTCTGTTCCACTGGGGAACGTGAAGGAAAAGAAATTATAATGAAATACAGCGCAAAATCTAAAACTAAATTTGTATTAACTAAAGTTGATGCTGGCTGTGCTACACAAGCACAGTTAGTTTGAGTGGACACTAGTAAGTGGTCCTATCTTTGGTGCACACTGAATACTCTCAGTCAGATTTGCAATATGGCCTTCATTCTAGGTGGCTTGCCATCACAGTGCACATTAATTTTATGATATTAGATTGTTGGAGGCAATCGACAGGAAGCCTTCGACATAGGTTTCGTGCTAGTTGGCACTCACCAGTCATCAAGGATTATTAGCAACTTTGAAGGAAGTCATGTCCATTCTGAGATTCGAATCGACGTAACCCAGTGCTGCAATCAGAGACGTTACTACTGAGCTCGGGCTCGAGATCGACCTGTAAGACATGAGTTTCTTCAAGCTTGAAGGTACGCCTTGCTGACTGGTAAAGGTCAACTAGCACGAAACCTCGATAAAGGCTTCCTGCCGATCGCCACCATCCATCTAAAAATATGCACAATTATCATACATTCCTTACTATCGGCGTATACTATAGCTGTACTAGAATGCACCACAACTAACCTTAATCTGTGTAAAATGTATGCATATCAAGGATTGGTAGATATATGATTATGCAATCAAATGCATAAAAAGTGTTTACTTCATTTTCTCCTTCACACTGACTTCATCTTTCGAAGCATATGGTTTCAATTTAATTTACACACGCAAAACACCTATTTTTCAGACATACGTGGGTGTGTACATCTGAAGCTGTGGATCAAAACCGTGTCGAAACGTTCCCGTATACAAATTGAGATATATTTTTGTCACATATCTATGAGATACATAATTAAAATCATTGAGACACACTTATCCTTGACTGTAAA